AAGTTATAATAAAAACTGATAAAATTCAATACTCACTCATCATTTCAAAAATTTGTAGGAAACTACAGCAAACTTCGTACTTAAATGCTGAGACTTTAGAGGCAAAATTATCAAAGTCAGGACAAGACAAAAATTTCTCCAGTCACTGCCACTATTCATTAAGTAATCAGGGTCCTGGCCAGAGAAATGAAGTGAAAGAATAACTAAGATGTATATGGATTAGAAAAGGAGAGACAAATTACTATTATTTTAATATCATATCACTGTTGACACAGAACATTTAAAGGAATCTGCAGACAACTTAGAAGAACTAATAAAAAAGTGATCAAAGACTCCAGCAAAAACCTGTAATTGTACACAGATATTTTTCTAACTTGGCTCACAGGTTGACATTTGTTTACTAATCCTAACCTAGTTCAATTAAGAACTAGAGGGCTATTTTCCCCAAGGTTACACATTTTGTAAAAACTGACCCAGAGGTGGTTTTGGAGCACATGTTTCATTCTAATTCAAACAATTTTACTTTTGTGCTTCATGCAATGGTTTTTTTTGTCCTAGAAATGACCATGCCATGATTTCTGGGAAGATAATGAAGAGAAGCTGTCTTGACATAGTAAGGGGCCTAGATGGGGTGGAATGAGATCAGCAAAAAGTCCTGAGGGCACCCACCCAGACATCTGAAAAGAGGAACTGAAAACAAAAAGCTTATTTTGAAACAAAAAGTAATTTACCTTTGAAAACTAAAACTTAGCAGCAGCATTTGCTAGTTATTTTCTCTTTCTGGAGATATTTTGGTCCATAGGACTCCATTACCTCTTGGTTCTTCCTACCCATGTCTTCTCATTCTCCTTTGCTCAGTGTTGGAAAATCTCTCCCATCTATAAATATTGAAAGGTCTCTGGGTTCAATTCTTAGACTTACTCATTTCTTTATCCCAATTCCTTAGTCTTTTGGTTTGAAATACCCAATTTTATTTCCAATTCTGACCTCTTTCCTAAATTCCAGTCTTATATATCTAACCACCTACTTAGCATCTTCCTTTGAATATTTAACAAGCATCTAAAACTTCACATGTGCCAAATCAAACTCTTGCTTTCCTATCTTCTACCTCCTCCACCTATTTCTTTATCTCAGTAAATTATAGCTCTAGTCATTAATTTTTTCATGCCAGAAAATTACAATTATCTTTGACTTCACTTTCTCATATCACATATCCATCCATAAGAAAATTCTATTGGCTCTTCTTTGGAAAATGCCCCAAAACTGATTGCTTCTTATCACCTTTACCAACCTTTGCATTACCATCCCTTGCCTGTGCTATTACAACAGCTACCTAACTAGTCTCCTTGCCCCAGTAATGTATATAATCTGTTCTTCACAGGCAACTAGAGTAATACTTTTAATACATAAATCAGATTATGTTATTCCTCTGCTTTCCAGTTGTTTCCCCTAGCACTTATGATAAAATGAAAAGTTCTTTACAGGGCCACCAAAACCCTACATGATAGCTCTTGGCTACCTTGTTGATACCATCTCCTAGTTCTTTCCTCCTAGCCTGTTCCACTTCTGTCATACTAACCTCCTCACTGTTCCTGAATAGTCCAAGCACACTCCCACCTGAAGGCCTTTGCACTAGAGAAAAGCTCTTCCCCCAGATATCCATATAGCTATCTCTTCCTTAAGATTTATTCTATGTTACCTGTTAACGATGACTTCCTTGTCCCTTCAATAAAACTACTCTATGGTCTTTTATTCTCTATCCTCTTACCCTGCTTTACTATTATTATTTTTTTCATGGGGTCTACCATAATAAAACCTAAGGATTATAGGAGAGGGACTTTGTCTGTTTGCTCACTACTCTATTCTGAGCAACTAGAACAGTGCCTGGTACATAGTAGATCCTCAATATGTGTGTTGAATGAATGAATGAATGAATGAATGAGTATCTTGAGCAATAAAACTTGAGTAATTATAAATGATACCCAGCATTTCTTTCTTTCTATTTGGAGAGGAAAATTGGGAGCAGAAAAGGAGCGAGATTTCTCAGGACTTCAGGACTCCGTGTTCTGCAAGATTGGTACAGTGGCAGAGCAGAATGTGAGGGAAGATTCAGCAGCAATATGGGAGTGAGAGAAAATGAATAGAATGCTTGTATATTTCCAGGAGAAAATCTGTGTCATCTCAAAATGAGAAACAGTTGTTGCTTTAAAGCAGGACAGTACTGTTACAACTCATCTAATTTTAAAAATAGCTTTTTCAGTAGCTATTTTTTTCAAAAACCTATATTTAGAGTATATTATGGAAAAATGGGCATATAGCAAGCATAGCAGTCATGTTTTCTTATGTGATTTTACACTCAATTGTCATTTAAATTTTTCTTTGTAAAATAATGAAGCATGAGATTAAAGTATGAAATAGAGAACATTAAATTTCAAGCTAAAAAAAAAACTAGAAACATTTTGATGCTTTTCTTACTAATATATTTTAACCACAATTTGACCAAAGTTTTGGATATCTTCAATAAAATGCTTCTTTCAATTTACTCTGAAATGTTTATATTAGTGTTAAAATGTCCCTGGGAATGCACATGACTGGTTACCCTCTTGCCCATTCACGAGATTGGACTCTGCTGATTGTCATTTCCTGTTACATTATGTGGGTCTAGGGCTAGGCTTTCTCGAAACTGCCCAGTTTCTACAAGTCACTTCTAAGTGGGCACAGATGAGAGAATCACTATAAGACTGCACATTGCTATAGTATATTCCAGTTTCTATGATCTTTCACTCACATTCTTTCTCTGGGTCCTACCATTCACATAGCATGTCCTTTGGGGAAGGGGACTCTGAGAAGGCTATTTACCCCATTTTTGTGCCCAGGACAGTGTCTGGTGTGACTAGATCCCCACACGCTGACCCCAAGCATCCAAAGACCTACTTCAAAGACTGTGGTGGAGGGCCCAGAATCAAAACCCCTGTGCTCCTCATTTGTCATTAACACAATTTGTATCACCCACTATATTGTTGAAAATATAGTTAAAAGACATTTGTCTGCCTTTAGCTGAACCATGCTCTATTAGGGAAATATGCACACAAGGCAACAATTACAATGCAAAGAGCAAGGACTGCAATGGATAAAGTCTAAGAGGTTATTCGAGCACAGAGTAGTTCTAATGTAGGGTCTGCCACTACAAGTCATCTTGCTTCTATGATTCATAGTTTATTCACCTGTAAAATTAGAACAAAACTGCCTTCTCTTGCCTATAGCAAAGGTTGTTGTGAGAGAAAAACTACAGAATGGGTGTGAAAGCACTTTGTAACTCTGAAGGGCTATTCTAGAGTGACTATAGGAATATGGGGTGATAACTGAGGGGATGGTCCTGTGAAAGCTGTCCTGTGTGATGCTCCTGCATGTTTCATTGGGTTTAGACATTTATCCAGATGTCTAGAACTCAGAGCTGATCCTAGCCCAGTTTCACAACTTCTGAAATGTAAAAAGCAGAATAGAAGAAAGGAGAGCAGAAGAGCCCTGGGTAGCCCAGGTCTTGTGACCACAGCAGTGGAACCTGCATCAATCCCAATGAACTGGAAAGTTGGGCCTTCGGCAAGGTGATTTTAATGTTTGATGCCTCAGTTTTCTAATCTGAGAAATAGAAATAACCACAGTTCTTAATCCATAAGACATAAGTATTAAATGTGATAATCCATATTAAAATAGCATAGGGATTACCTCCTAGTAAGTCCTCAGTAAACATTAGCTATTATTTTAATTAATTTCTTTAAAATGGCTTCTAATCACCTATAAGAGCCAGGCTTGGGCCTTAGACATAAATAGATGGAGTCTCAGTTACAGTTCTCACATGAGAAAATTGGTGAGTCACGTGCCTGGGCTGTCTCTGCACTTGCCTTCTGTATTGATGTTCCAGCTCCCTCCCCACTAGAAAAAACACCTGCTTCCTCAGGCAGACCACAGCACTGATGCCTTGACTCAGATTCCCTGACTTTTTGCTGCCCTCTGCTGACCCAAGTGTGTCTCTGCCATGTGCCAGGCTCGGGCAAGGAGGGATGGGAGCTGTCTGGTGTGTGTGGGGTGACAGACATGGAGATGTCTGCTCTGTTTTCCTGAGGCTTGTATCATGTCAATCTTTCTCACAAAGCAAAAAAAAAAAAAAAAGGTGGGGGAACTTGGTAGAAGCTCGACATTTGTCAGTTGCTTAGCAGCTCTGCAAATTAGTATAATTGACCCCCCAGAGGGCCCAAGCTCTCAACCAGTTTCCTTGCTGGTCCTTTGGGGAGGAGGACTACTTCCATCACAAAGGGTTCGTAGATTGAGGAGAGCAGTGTTTTTATTGGTTACCTCCATGGTGAGGATCAGAAATGTCTCCAAGTCAGAAATAGTTACAAATATGCCGTTATCAGGGACCATGGCTTGCCACAGTGCCCTGGCTGCGCAAATAATTAATTTAGATTCAAGAAGGATGGGTCTGAAATTTCTTAGACCACAAAGATGGAGAATGCATTCTTTTGGGCCAAGTAATTCTGGTTTTCTAGTACTGTTCAGTGGATAGGACAAGGTAAAGATTCAAGCGGTGATTTACCAAAAGAGAAAAAGAGCCTGGGGGTGGGGCTAAGAGAGTGGGAGGTGTAGCACTAAGGCTGTAAGTCTGATTTCTGGGACTTTCTGCTCTGAAAGAGACCTACCCACATGAGACTCACTGACTTGACTTAAAGTTGGCTCAGGCTAGAAATCCACTGAAGGCTTGAGTGGGTACCTGCTAATTTTAACCTCTGGATTAATCAGCATGATTTCTTCCTGGGCACTGATGCCTCTGAGAATCTAACAGGAGCTATGAATTATCTCCCCAGAAAACAGAACCAATGCATATTTTTTTAAAAAAACGGTTTCTTCATTTCCGTGGTGCTCTCAGAAAAAAAAAAAATCTATAGGCCTTCCTGTTTCTGGTCTCCGGGCTCCACCCATGAACTTCTGTGTGGAGAGAAAAAGCTCAGTGGAAATTTTTCTCTAACCCAGGGCCGCGAACTCAAGAGCACTGGAGCCCTCGGTCTCTTTCTAGCTTGCTTCTTGCCTGGTTCCAGCCTTCCTGGAAAGCTCTGAAGAGTAGCATGTACTCCAAAAGGGTGAAGTGGCAACAGGCTCTGGAAATTCTACTGCTGCTTCATTTGTTCCTGGAGACCAGCATTCAAGGTATTTTCCATAAGTTGTCTATCTGTGACTATGCACTGAAGGCATGGTCACACGGAAAAGAGGATATAGGATGTGGCTCAACCCTGGAGGTATAGTCTCCAGACCACAGGTACTTCCATCCTGGTAACAGGGTGGTGGCAATTTGGGGAGCTTTCCTTAGCCTTGGAAAATTGAGCTCCATCTCTTGTCCCAGGGGGATATGACAAAAACAGGATCCTGGGGAGATGGAGAAGTAGGACCCTCATATTTAGTGTATGGTTTGTGCAAGTATTTTTTGCATTTCGAATAAGAGGAAGTTCCACACTAATAGCTGCCACATTTTTATGCTCAGGCATACTTTGCTACTCCCTGAGGTATTCTTTGAGATTTCTGTCTATGTAAGGAGGTGTATCTTGAGCCAAGGTAAATGTCATTGTCATTGTCCCAAAGAGAGATCAAAATTGTAGGAAAGAAAACTTGGAAAGGAGAAAAAAATGGCATAGGTAATACATGTTCTATTCATCTCTCTGGCAACCAAATCAAAATTGTGACAGAAACAGGGAGCAAACAGCAAGGAAAATTGCCTGGGATCTAGATGAACAAGCCATGCAACTAGGGAGAGAACTAAGAAATCACCCTCCAATGGCAGAAGGTAGGACCGGGTGAGGACACAAGTGTGCCCAATCTTGAGTAGCTCAGTGGGATGGAGGCTGTGGCAGCTGCAGCTACAGACGCCTCTTCAAGGGGCTGTGTCCGCAAGCAGACTTTCGTGGTGACGAACCTGTTCTCTCTGAGCACCAGCTCTAGTTCGGTTGCACAGGGGGCACCAGGGACTTACAGGGGGACACTGAGTTGTTGGAGTGAGGGCTGGGGCGAGACTCGCTCTGTACAGAAGTGCCTGTGGTATCCATTGTTCCTCTGTTGAGAGTGCAAAATCCTAACCACTAAACCACCAGGGAACGCTAATTGTTCCTCTGTTGAGACCTCCCCACTCCCAGTGTGTGGATTCAGTGCCACCATAGCAGAGAGGTTATCAAACTGGATAACAGAGGTCACTCAACCCAGAGTTTGGGGTCATTCCCTCAAACTCCGCCTCCCCCAACTTGCAGCCCCACAAAACCACATCCAAGTGTGTTCTCTCTTAGTCAGATGCTCTTTGCTAAACAGCTGCAAGACTCACACTCGTGACAACTGGCCTCAGTTTCTCATGTGGCCTTTGAGGCAACTATAAGCACAGCATCTGTGGATTGCTTGCTGAATCTTAACAGGTAGCACCAGAGAGGCACAGGCTGAGGCTAAACTTGGCCCACAGCTGAACCCCTCTCAGGGCTGTACCACTGGACACATACCACACAAAGCCATGCTAATAAGATCGAGAGACTTAGGAGCTTTGCTTAATATATAGAAACAGACACAGAAAGGCAGCCCAAATGGGAAGACAAAGAAGCAGTAACCGTACGAGAGAACAGAATAGAGATCCAGGAATAACAGAGTTGAGCAATCTAACAGATGCAGAGTTCAAAACACTGGTTATAAAGATTCTCAGTGAACTTAGGGAAAGTATAGATGAACTCAATGAGAATTTTAACAAAGAGATAAAAAACATAAAAATGGAAATAGGAATTATAAAAAAGAACCAGTCAGAAATGAAAAACACATTATCTGAGATGAAGAGTATATTAAATGGAATAAACAGAGTGAATAAAGAAGAGGAGCAAATGGCCTATATAGAAAATGGGAAAGCCAATGACACTCAATCAGAATGGCAAGAAAAAAGAAGCCAAGACTATAATAATAATTTAAGGAGCCTATGGGACACCATTAAGTGAAAAAATATCCATGTCATAGAGCTACCGGAAGGAAAACAAGATGTTGAAGAGCTATTTGAAGAAATAATGATGGAAAACTTCCCTAACCTGATGAAAGAAATAGACATAAAACCCCAGGAAGCTCAGAGAGTCCCAAAAAATATGAATCCAAGGTGGCCCACAGCAAGACACATCATAATTAAAATGCCAAAGATTAAATACAATGAGAGAATCTTAAAAGCAGCAAGAGAAAAGCAGCTAGTTACCTACAAGGGAACACCCATAAGACTAGCAGCTGATTTCTCAAAAGAATTTTGCCGGACAGAAGGGTTTGGCACAAAATAGTCGATATGATGAAGAGCCAAGATGTATAACCAGGAGTTCTTTATCCAGCAAAGCTGTCATTTAGAGTTGAACAGATAAAGAGCTTCCCAGACAAAAATAAGCTAAAGGAATTCATCAACACCAAGCCAGTATTACAGGAAATATTGGAGGGACTTTTTTAAGATGAAAAAACATGATTCAAAAACATGAATAAAGAATGGTAATAACTACATTCCTATCAACAAGTACCTCAAATGGAAAAGAATTAAGTGCTCCAATCAAAAGATAGAGTGGCTGAATGGATCAGAAAACAAGATCCTTCATATGCTGCCTACAAGAGACTCACTTCAGATTAAAAGACACACAGAGACTAAAAGGAAGGGGATGGAAAAAGATATTGCCTTGATGGACCTAGAGGGCATTGAGCTCAATGAGTCAGATAGAGAAAGACAAATATTGCATGATTTCACGTATTTGTGGAATCTAAAGAACAAAATCAACAACAACAAAAGCGGAAATAAACTCATAGATACAGAGACTATTTAGAGGGATACTAGATGGGAGGCGGGTCAGGAGGCGGGAAAGGCAAAGAGATTAAGAGGTACAAATGGATAGATGCAGAATAGACATGGACATGTAGAATGTAGCATGGGATGATGGTTAATAATGTTGTAATAAATATGTAAAGGGTAGGAGGGGTACTAGATTTAGTGGGGTGATCACTTTGCGAGTTATGTGGATCTCTGATCACTCTACTGTACAACTGAAACTGGTATATTATTGTCTGCCAACTACAATTGAAAAACTCATTGATTTGTACAATGTAAATACAAACAACTAATTATTATATTTCAGTAAAGATGGGGGAAAAAAAAGAAAACTCAGAAAAGACTGCTCTTTCTACGTCTCTGAATGAGAGTCGAGCATAGGCCTGAAGTACCTCAGTATAAAAGGCAGCCCAAACACCTTAAGCATTAAGGTTCATTCCCTAGGCACAGGCTTGTTCTGGCCACCTCATGTGCTCAGAGACTGAGCTAACTTTATTTTTCCTGCTATAGCTGCCCGACCCTCCAGTACCTGTCTTCCCAGGCCAGCTGAGAAGTGAGAGTTAAACTATTGCCTTTCTCACCATTCTCATAATAAAAGCTTTTTCATGTAAAGAGCTTTAATACATACCACTATAAGAAAAATGAGTAAAAGTGAACAAAAATGAGGAAATTACAACAGTATGTAACTTTTAGAGAGATGGGGTAGACATGCTCGGAGGAAACCCTACCAACCACTCAAGCAAGGCCTTTCAGAGTGATAATACTTTGGATCTGGTTCATGACTGTGTAAGGCTAGAGACATGATGTCATGGCTTTATGTACTCCACGGGACTGATTCAACTCATAGGACACTGATATGGCCTTGAGAGTTGGGGCCGATGTGAAGTAGTAATCCAACTGTTGGGAAAGATAGAGCTGCCAAGAGAACTGGAATATTTCAGGACTTTCTCTAGAAAGTTCAAGGTTCCTAAACTTTTTCATGCATAGATTATGCCTACAGATGGTCATCTTATCCCCAATTTGTGACTTCCATTAACCACATTCCACTAACCACATGCCATCTAAATTGAACTTTTTTTTTTTGCCTTGAGGAGGTGCTTTCTCTCTTGCCACTAAGGCCTATGTAGTACATGCCTTTCCTTCTGCCTAGGATTCTCAGTGCCTGCCTCCTTCCCCCTCCCTCCCTTACCTTCCATTTTCCTATGACTGCCTCCTGGAAACTTCAGGCTTCAGATTATAGTTGGTGAACTTCTTGTTTGATTGTCTGTTTCCTTCAGCTCTGTAAAGACAAGGATCATGTACAGTGAACTTAGCGCAGTGCCTGGAACATAGCCTGGCCTCAGTAAATAATAGTTGATTATATGAATAAATGACTTCAAAGAACTTCTTTTTGGCTATACATTCAGATTTCCTGGAAATACAGTAGTTGTCTCCTCCATGGTAAGAAATACTTTTGTGAAAAAATTTGAGAAACGCTTTTAAATTTTCTCCTTCATCTCTCCTCAGACTTGAGTTCTCAGATCACTGATTTCAGGGCACGCTCCTCTACTAGGCATGTTCCCCATCTCTCCACAGCACTTGGAAGAATGAAGTGGAATAAGCATGTACCAGGAATCAGAAGACCCATGTTTTCTCTGAGTTCCACACCATGGGATTTTCCATAAGTTACAAAAGCTTCCTGAGCCTCAGCTTTCTCAATTCTATAATGGGTAAAATATTATGTTCTCCATTTCTTCAAGGAGTTATTATTAAGATCAAATCAAATAAAGATCGTGAAATTGCCTTGCAATTGTGACACACACAATCTGAGACTGACAAGAGCCTGGGAAGAGCATAAGTGAACTCCGAAGCCCTGAGCCCCAGATATGAGTTTCTAACTGTTTTTTAAACATCTCCAAACTCTCCAAACACATATCCAAAATCTAACTCATCATCTCTGTTCTGGCTATCTGTTTTCTATGTCGCAAGCCACCACAACCCGTGGTTTGAAATAATAACCATTTATTTTTATTCACAAATCTGGGGGTGGAATGTGCTCAGCACCTCGGGGTGTCGCATGAGCTTGCAACCAGATCATTGTGGGGTCTGGGTTCATCTCTAAGGCTTCATTATTCACATGGCTGGTGCCTAGGCTGAGTGAGACTAATCCCAAGAGAAACAGGCAAATGTGTCTGATCTTTTCCAATCTAGCTTTGTAAGTTACTCCTCTGCTGTATTCTATTTCATTGAGACAGTCATCGAGGGGAGAGGACATAGACCCCACTTTCTGATTAGAAGAGTGTCAAAATATGTGCAGACTTAAAAAAATTATTATAACCTGCTTTCCTCCACTGTTTCCTAT